AATCCCTGTTGACGATAATGATAATAATCCTTGAAAATTGTACCAAGTCCACTTGGCACAAATTTAACATTTAAATCCAGAGGCAATCGATATATTACGTTTGTATGACTTTTTCTCCCCTATGGGTCTTCTGTAACCCATGTTGTTGAATCTTCCTCCATGTACCATCTAGAGTTTACAACTAAACAATCAGCAAAGCAACTAGGCTGCCATGAAGACAATAGGAGAAGACTGAGTGTCAGCCTTGATGTTTAAACTTTATATTGCCGCTCAAAGCTTCAGTTAAACAAATTGCTTTTTGTTTGAATGAATGAATACACACTCACACACACACTCACACACACACACAGGGTGTCAGTTTTTATCAGTCCTTAACAGGTACTATACAAAATCACCATTCTGGACTGCACAAGTTTTGTTTATTAGTTTGCGTTGTTTATTTTTAAATTATATTTATAACAAAAAAAGCAGAGGATACATTCTATGCCAAGAAATGACACATCATAATATAAAACTACTGAAAAAAAGATTTCAGTAAACTCTCAACGCGTTATTTATTCACTATTGTCGGCTTTAATGAATGTCATACGACATTCGTTAACACCAGGATATCTGATTTATTGTAAAGTTTGACAGGTTTTGTTTTGTTTAAATTCAACTATTTTTCTTATACAATAAAAGTGGAAAATTGTTATTCAAAATATTCACACTATAAGCAGGTAAGCATTGCATATAATTAATGCATAGAGATTTAACCGCATATAATGCGAAATATGTTTCATTGATAAAGTTCATTGAGTATAAATTGGGTCCCAGTGGCCATATGGTAAACGAGCTTGCCTTGTAACCAGAAGGTGGTCCTGGGTTTGAGACCCAGAAGGGTGCGTACTGCTGATGATTCCCAAACTAGGATGAGACAGCTGTTAAATACTCCAATGCTGGTTTTCAATGGTTCTCTAATTGGCGTCGATCCGTGATCAACTAGTAAAAATGCAAATCAACTCAGGCAACATTTGAACTTTGTAGATTTCTTCTAATCTGCATATCTAAAAAAACTGTATGACTGACCAACCGACTAAATTTCAACATTAAACTTTACACAGAAGTCCAGCAGTTCAAGTTGCTAGACAGTACATGAAGGTAGACAAAGGAGATAAAGGGATTTGAAAGGGCTTCAATACGCAGAAATGTAGAGGAGACATTAAGGCTTAGGGGATGATTTGGAAGAACACAGAGAGAGTGAGCGGGTCTGAGTTATTCAGAACCATAGACACCAAGCATTGCTTCTTAGCATTGCAAGGAACACAGCCAAGCAGTTAACGTCTCCTGATGTGGTCGGGTCAAACCAACTGTCAGTGTCTTCATGGACTGATACCGAGTTTCGAATCGATTTCACTTGATTCTTCTCCAACCTAATCCTTTGTTGGCTAATATTGTTCTTGGAGAAAGGTAGTGGCTTTTCATGAGCAACACGAATCCTAACGATCTCAGTCAATGTAGCTTCAAGACCCTACTGACTGAATTTCTGTTTTTGTCTAACACTCAACGCCTAACCTAAGTATTACTCACCGTATTTTATAACTCAAGACGTAAGATAGAACTGAGACACATCCAATTAAAGACAGTCAGTTATTTCATATCTTCTGTTTTCACTGACCAAGTCTCACAACTGTAAAGAAAGATAGAAAGAAATGCTGTGTAGTACATCATTTGGTCGATGATTGTCAACCGGATGTCATGTCTACGCCATAGACAAAGTGTATGTTGATGACTTCCACATGAGCCTGTTATATAGGTGCGGAGGTTTCATCAGCAATGCATGAATGCCACTTTATAGATGGTGCAACGCTCTAAAATAACATCAAATTGGTACACTAATGTTCATGTAGATTTTTCCAAGCCTACATGATGTAGCAAGCGTTAGCCATTATGAAGGTAAACAACGGTCCTACTATCCTTGCCAATTAACCCTGAGACATGACAGTCCACTATTTTATATCACTGAGAAGTGACCTGTACATAATTCAAGCGAACACTCCAGTACATTCTGTGTTCCATGCAGGAATATATGGGTCTGCCTTACAAGCACTTACAGGCAAAGACAACAAGTTGGCTGAAGGAGCAGACAAGACTGGACTTCAAGTGAACGTAGAGAAGGTAGAAGTGATGAAGATGATCGCCACGACGATTTTATTGCAACAGCACCAATTCGATTGTCTCATTAAACGATTCAAGTTGATTTTGGCGATGGTTAGTGTATGTGTCGGCCTTGGAAATAGAAATACGACAATCTACCAGTGAACCTACTATACTCAACACTACATGTAGTCATCACTTCACTGTGGCCACTCCATTCATCATCATCATCATCATCCTAGCTTCTTTGCCAGATCATCTTATGTCAATTTCATAACCATGCCGAATTCCAAAAAAAGAGAGCAGGTATTAGCAGTTCTATGCCGGTGAGACTATATGACAAAGTCACGGGTTAGCAGACTTCAGCAATAAAATTAAGAAAAAAAAAATCCAAATTTAATGTAATTTGTGGATGGTGACAAGCAATGAAATCCATGATAACGCGCATTTCGTCGTGTTTAGGACTCATCCAGACATCGTCGAAGCATCTGCCGACATGTCAACCTGAGACCGAGCACCTCGGTCCAGACAATCGACGGGAAAATCTAAAATTTAATTGAATCTAAATTTATTAGTTTTAAAACGTTAGTAACTGAATAAATGATACTCCTGACTTAATGTGTATGTATCTCAAAGAATTAAAAAACCTTAGTAAGATATCATTGATAGAAATATTGAAAACTCTAGCGTACTGTATATGTGTTTCGTCTTAGTCAGCTATTCTTCGACAGTATGCAGTCATGACCTCACTGGGTACTGAACCCAGGATATTCAGTTTTTATGAAGCAAGTTCGTCAACCACTCAGCCACTGAGATGAGATTCACTAATGACTCTAGTCAGTGCTATCGGGAAACATCTCATTAGCTGAATAGTTAATGAGCTAACCCTGTGACCTGAGGGGGTTCTGGTTTCATTGCTCAGGAAAAACTTGTAAGTTAAACTTTCAATATCACAAAGTTTTCAATAAAGTGATTTATGCAGTACATACATTAACGCCAATTAAACGACAGTTATCATTTATTTCCCAACATTCACTATAGGGAGATATTTGTTCACTTCAGAAAACATCAATAAATCCGACCCATAGTTGAAATTGGCTCGGAAATACCTCATCTTATTCTGGGATCATGATATATCTCTTGACTACAACAGTTTTTGTAAGTCAACAACTTCGAATTTTAGCGTGATCACGGATTGGTACCAGTTAGAGATTTACTGAAAATTAAACTAGGGTGGAACAGCTAATCAGTACTCCCTGGTGGTGATGGTGTCTAGTGATTAACGGCAGGACGAAAGTACATGGAGTTTTAGAGGAAAATGGTGACCAGTGGAATCCACCAGGTTGAGTTTAATGACAAATATCCACCGGTGACATTGTCTGCAGGTAGTGTTTAAAACCTCGAATTGACGGAAGTAAGTTAGAAATCATCAGCTTTGGATTTAGTCTTTAGTCTTAGTGCATGAATTGTCAATGAGCTTGCCTCGTACTCCAAAAGGTTCTCGATTCGATCGCTAGTTGCACACTCCTTCCTGATGAATACCAAATGAGAACTAAACAACTAACTCTTCATTTCTGCCTTGTTTTCCATAGTTCTCTAATTCATATTATTGTGTGATCTGATCGAACTTGAAACCGATCAAATCCTGCCAACTAGTACTCGTAAATAAACTATGATAGACTTAAAATAAGAGAAAGCCGTTGTTTGAATTTCCAAAAACAAAGTCTCCCTACAAAATCCATCAAATCACTGAATCAGTCAGTGATGTTACGCTGGAGAATAGCAAGATAGAAATTTCCAAGATCAAAATCTATGAGAAGTATCTCAAAACCATCTTAGTTCCTCAGACTTGTTCGATAGATCGATTAAACTACCTCCAACTCAAAACAGTCTACATTCATTATTGCATCATGAAACCACATATTAATTCCTCACCACCTTGTGGTCAGATATAGTCATCAAATTCGATAGTCTACTCGAAAGGAATTTTCGGTTCTCCTGTGTCGGATAAAGTTAATTAACTCTTCGAAATCTGTAAATATGTTTGTTCATTCTTTAGTCAAATTCAGATAGAGGGACCAACTGTATGGAAAAATAGATTTCTCTGTAATTTTGCTATTCATTGCCGAATCGCTTCATCTAGGCAATGAAAATGTAGCACAGATATCACAATAACACAGCAATGACAACTGTTTACTATTCGTAGATTAATTGTTATATAATATCTTATATCTACATACATGGGAAATAAAACTTATTGGGTAAGCGACTAATATCGTAAAAACAAAAGACTACGCCAATTGTGATTGGTTAAACAAGTCAACCAATAGGAATTCAAGTTTACAGTTGTCCAGAACATCATACATGTTCCCATTTTTGCTGATGTTTTTTTTTCATTTAGACAATGAATATTTTCACAATCAGCGTATGCATGATATGTTGAACACTATACACACCAAAAGAAGGTATCTATGAAAACGGAAATGATAAGGTCAACATGTTTGTCAACTTTAAACAGTATTAATCTGTTATTTTGAGCAAATAGTTTTTTCTTTTGCTCATTTTCTGTAATGTCATGAGCGCTCACACAAAGAAAACACAACAAAATAAAGTTGAAAATTTCAAGAATTGCACCACCTTATGCAATCTTTATTCTCTTTGGATTTATTACTATCCTTATACATACGTTTATTTTACATAATTAACTTAATTACTGGTTTATACAGTATGAATTCAGTGAAACAGATCACATTTTATGCTAAAGAACATCCGGAACCGAATACCCTATTGGGGAATATATTTACTGCTAGTGGAATATTAGATAGTACAGTGAAGAGTATTCGACTAGAGGCATTAGAATCTCAATGGTCAAATGTTTTCGTATCGACCGACGTACAGGGGATTTATATACAACGAATGAAGCGAAACACCTACTGGATAGTGAAAAATTATGCATGAATCATCAAAATAATAATAATAAATTAATATCAAGTGGAGTTTATGCCTCGACGAGGATGAGCTATCATCATTACTGTACAGTTAATTTACTTATTTCAATAAATAATCGTATCCTTATCACTATTAATGTACAAATTGAAGATGTTAATGATAATGCTCCGATTTTACCAGACTATAATTTACAAAGAATATTTATTAATGAAACATCTTTACCAGAGGTGACTAGAGTTTCGTTGAAACCAGCTTATGATGCAGATTTTAATGGATATAATCAATTGTATTACTATATTAGTATAGTTAATGATAATAGTAATAATATTAATGACCTTCATGTTGATATAAATCCTTTCCGCATTGAGTACAGGTCACAGCTGAATGGATCTAACATGTCTGATGATTTAAATCTAATTTTAACAAAATCTTTAGATTATGAAAGTCAATCAGAGTATAAAATGAACCTGACAGTTTGTGATGGTGATCGCAAGACTAAGCACACAATTGTTCATTGTTCATCACAGATGTTATTGATTAGTGTGAATAATATAAACGATGAATTACCATGGTTTCAAGTGACTAATTATACTGCTGTTATAAAAGAAACTACCCCAATCAGCAGTGATATAATAAAGGTGACTGCTAAAGACAACGATGCCAGTCCATACAATGAGATTTATTATCGTATACTGCCTAGTTCAGATAGCTTGTTAGTGTTCAATTCACAGGAGTTATTTCAAATTCAACCAAGAACTGGCGTTATCAGTTTAGCGAAAGCATTTCCTAAACCAGGGGAGTATAAGTTTCTTGTACAAGCTGTTGACAATGCTGATACCGATGACTACGACACGTCAGTCAATAATTCAACAGGTGATACACATCGTTTAACCAAAGGTGTTACATACGAAGCGGTAAATAATGCTCATAGTAATATTGCCAGCGTTGCTATTCAAGTAGTAGATGTGAATAATCATGCGCCTAGAATTGAAATTCAACAAACTCATGATTCTCTATTATACTACTCAAATCCTTCTCCTACTGCTCCGCCTCCTCCTCTTAAAAGCATGAATGGTAATTATTCAAAATTTATTTTACTAAATATTTCTGAAAATGTCCCGATAAATACACCTATAGCTTATTTCAAAATTACGGATGAAGATCAGCTGAAGAATGCTGAAACAACCTGTAAACTTATACGTTCCAGTGACGGGGAACCGTTTCTTTACGCCAGAAATGATAACAGTTATCAAGCCGATTTATTCTTCAAATTAATACCTGTGAATCGTATAAGTGAACATGTTTCAATACAAAAGTTAATATTAGTCAGACAGTTAGACGCCGAAGATTTATACGAAGATCTGCTACTCAAAGAAGTTGAACCTACATTGAAGTTAGAAAGTAACATCGCTGGTTATTTAGGCATCCTGTTGGTGTGCAGTGATTTTGGTACACCAAAACTATCCACATCAATGCCTATTATTATTGCAGTTAATGATGTTAACGAATTTTATCCAAGCATCGAGGTGATAAAATCATCAACATATTCATCTGTAGTATTTAAGAGTTATTTCAACCAAACCTACATCTATGATGTAAATATAACAGAAAATATCCCGATTGGATCACAGATTGTACAGCTAATTGCTACCGATAAAGATATTAAAGCTGTCATAGAATTTGTACAGTCTACAAAGCTAAAAACACCATTTATAATTGATAAATCTAAGGGTGTTCTAAAGACTACTGCTGAAATAGATTATGAATATACAACTAATTACAAAGTAATCATTCATGTGCATGATATGAAACCGCCAGAATTGTTGTCACTTACAACAACAGTCATGCTGAATATTTTCATTGAAGACATGAATGACAATCCACCAGAGTTTATCACTCCACCACCAAGTGAAATTCAATTTGATGGTTATACAGTGGTTGAACCGATACGAAAATATCAAAACAGCTTAAAAATTATAGAATTTGAAGAAGAAACTATTCACACTAAACCGCTGGGTAGAGTTCGAGCTGTAGATCGTGACAGTGGCAGAAATGCTGAGATCATTTATTTTATCGCAGAAATTTCAACTGATCTGGAAAGTGATCAGTTGAACAGACAGAAATTCATTAGCTGGAATAAAGCTTTTAGTAATTTTTCAAGTCTACCAAAAATATTAATCGATGCAGACGGTGCTTTATGGTGTGAAGGAAAATTAGATAGAGAAAAGATACCGATTATTGATTTAGTGATTGGTGCTCATGATTTAGGCGAACCGAAATTAACATCTTACACAAAGGTAAGAATTATCTTAAAAGATATTAATGATAATCAACCAGAATGGCAATTTCCAACTGAGGTAGACTTTTTAGTTGCTGTCTCAAAATCTGTCCCCATTGGGACAATTATTACGCGTGTTCGAGCCACGGATAAAGATGAACAATCGAAAAATGGTCTTGTAAACTATTATATTGCAGATTTAGATGGGGACAATGAGATCAGCTCTAAATCCCAGTTGTTGACAGGTAAACTCATTCCACATATTTTTGAAATGGATGCAAAATCGGGTGAATTAAGAGTGAAGCAATCGCTTACTGACTTACCGAATGGATTTCTTGAAATAATCTTGAAAGCTGAAGACAACGGTAGAACTCCTCAAAAATCATTCGCTAAATTAATCTTGTATATAACAAATGACAGTGATCTTTTAAACATGAACACTCCAAAAAAGCTACTAGCCTTTTATCAAAAAGAGAAACATACAAAGCTACTGAATTCACAACTACTTACGTTTGCAAAATTCAATGAGATCATTCCTTCACTGATGAATTCAGATTCTGGTAGTTTGTATATAAGTCGTACTGTAGGACAGCAAGATCCAGAGAGTGTTAAGCATTTATCCATTGTAATTGGTGCTTCAATAATCGGTGCCATTATTGTCATTTGCTTAATTGCTTTATTAATTGGTTTAAAGTTCACTACACGTTTTCAAAATCGTTCAAAATTCATATCGGCTACAAAAATGAATAAAAATGACTACGATCCAAGGAAGATTGAATCGGCTAACAGTTGTATAAAACAAATATCTCATCATTCATGCATCAGCTCTGATATCCCAGTAGAAACACCTAATGATTCGAATAGTATTCACAGCCTAATGAAAGGTATTCATCATACGCATAAAATAGAAATAAATGACTCAAATACAGAAAAGCTATTTTCACCATCATTCAATGAAAACTATTTCAGATGTTCTCCAACGTCTATTCAAACCAGTATACCAGTGAGTATGATAAGAACTCCTGAAGATATTCACTACTTGCCAATCCATTCAGCGCTAGATTTAACTGAGAATATTCCTTTAAGATTGTTGCATGTATCCACCAACGATAAATTTACTGAATCTCAATGTTCGAATTCCAATACTTTTCATAAAAATAATGAGAACAATGATACCAGTGATAATACTAATAATAATATTGACAGTAGTACTAACGAACTAGTGACACCACATTCCCTAACAATCATTGCTTCAGTTGTACCTACATGTAATATAAAAACAGCTTTACTTCCAATCCTATCACAAGATCATTGTAGTGAATGATGACATCTAGTGGGATAACTTTGGTCAATGAAGAAGATATTATCAAGGTGGGAAATTTATCACATTCCACAACAGGTTATACCGATTTTACCCCGTGTATTTTGTCAACAACAACAACAGCAACAATAACAACGACAGCAATCAGTGCTACTACAAATACCTCATAACATATATATATATATATATACATGTGCATGTGTACTGAACACAATTTAGTCAAAATAATATTATTAAGAAAACCAACCTTCCAAGAAAATCTCGCATAGCTACACTGCTGTTCAATCATTTCCAAAATGGTATTTTTCAAGCATATTTTTATTAGGCTTTTATGAGTACGATATGTTGTATATGTATATGTAATGAGATATGTATGTATCTTTATGTGTGTTTGTACAGAAGTATGCTGTTTAAGTGATTTATTTGTGTAACTCCAAACATTTTTGTGTAATTCAAAATACAGTCTAAGATATCACTGACTCTAAACCATCTTTAGCAGTATTTTATCAATCTTGTGATAACAATCTATGCTAATCTATTCTTATCATGATTGTTAGTTATGCTTGGCTAATTTTGTTGTATGGATGACTACGTGATTTTTCATGATTTTTTAGTAGAAGTTGGAACTCAGGGACTATTTGGATCAGGTCCTAAGGGCTGAATAATCTAAGAAACGTGGCCTTGTAGTAGCCGGAAGGTAGTTCGATTTGAAGCCACGCTGGTGCGTACGGCTGAGGGCTTCCAAACTGGGACGAAACAGCTATGGAATACTCTTTTTGATGATCTTCCGATAGTTATCTAACTGATGTCACTTCACTATATCAAACCTGTACGACGTTTACTTTATGAAGTAAATTTCAGAATATAATGCGAAAATTATTATGCTTAAGTAAGATTCCGTCCCAATGGTTGAATGGTCAATGAGCTGACCTAATAACGTAAAGCACCTGGTTCGATCCCTGGTGGTTGGGTTATGACAATATATATATATTTGAAGAGTCCCAAACTAGGACGAAACAACTGTCCATTTCTCCCAGGTTTTCAATAGTTTTGCAAGTGAAATCAATGAATGTCCAACAAATTGACGATTGAAAATTCATCTAGGGCTAACTAGCCACTAACTACATGACAACGTTGCGTGCAGTTTTAGCAGGAAGTTGTGAACAGTATAGTCTTGCAAGGTTGAGTAAGACGACAAATTCTTGCCAATGAAATTGATCGGCAGTTGTGCTTTAAATCCAGAATTAAACTATTAGATTTAGTCCTAGTCAGTGAATGATCAACGGAGTCGATCTTCCGTGGAGTCATGCGGGTGTACTGGTTAAGAGTCTGAAATTGGTACGAAACAGCTGTCTAGTATTTCTTCGTTTCCGATAGGTCTCCAGCGGATGGCGTTCCATGACAGAAATTCGAAATTATTCGGATCTCATTGAATATCTACTGAACTTATCACAATTTATCCGGCAAGGGGAACTGGATTTTGGTCCAGTGTGTCTTTTCAACAATGCACACCTACACCACTATTAGGTGTTTAAAACAAGACCGTTCGAATTACAAGTCAAACTCTTTAGACCATCAATCCGATGATATTAGTTCCTGACGAAATCTATATTAGAATACACCACAGTGTCTAAAGATTCATGACATGTATCTAGCTGACACGTTTTTCATCTTCTAAACAACAAAGGTGTGTTTGTGAGTGTTAACGTGCGGTTCTTATTCGGATCTCTTTTCTGCAACTACATCACTTCCTGAAGTGATATAAATTAATTAGTGTGGTTGTAACTTATTTTCTTAATAATAAGGATACGAGAAACTATTTAAAACATTTTGTGAAGTGTTTTGATGACAGCGGTTTCCAATAACCGCATGCGGAATCCTAAGTGAAATCTCGATGAAATAAATGGCTAAATTTACGTGTGTATATTTATACACTCCGTCGTCTTACGTTGCATCAGTTAGAATCTGGAAATTGAGCCACATCACAAAGGAAAATTGTTGAGCGTCCTTATTTCATCAATGTTACAGTGTTACTGACCTGTTTACACAAAGGTTCTCCATTTGTCAGCCAGGCTGAGTATTGTTTCTGAGCGACTTTAAAAAGTGTAAGCATGGAACGACTAATGTACCCAGCTCTACGAGACCAAGTTAACTGGTATTTCCGTGCTGATGTAGCCTAATGGGACAGCTTGTCTTTCATGTACTGACCGAATAGTCTCTTGGAAGAAAGTGTTACTTGTAGCTAAGCAGCGAAATATGTTTCACCGAGAGATTTTAAATGTGGTTTTCAGTATCGCTTTTTTTAAATTCGTGTCTCAGCAGCAGGATCTTTTCGGGCGAGGCGGCCTGTACCTGTTTCAGGTTTTCGTATATTAGTCTGGGGGGAAACAATTTTCCATAAAGATTCTTAGGAGATTTTGCAGCTGTTTGTCAATAGATTTCTACGTCTTTTTACCCTCATCCTCCTGCTTATTTAGCTAATAATACGTTTTTAATCTCCATGTGTATTCTTGCCGTTCGCTAAATTTGACTGTCGACCGGAAATATTCATGTAAATTTCTCACCAAATTAATATATACACGCAAATGTACAGTCGCATTGATAACTTCGTTAAAAGAAGAACATTTTTTCACTGCAACCGTTTTTTTTGACAAATTTTCCCTATGCTCTAATGTATATATTAACTGTCGCATTTATGCAATAAATTTGTCGAAAACAGCTCAGTCTTAACATCTCTGACTGTAGTACTGAGTGATACTGGTTTGAATCTCAGAAGGGACGTGAGTTCCTTCTCCTCGATGGTACAGTCATAGAATTTTCAGCAAGTGATATCCGTAGTCCAAATACAACAGGCCTACCACTGATTTCAGGTGTGCGTTGGCCGGGGATCGAACCCTGTACCATATGCATGGTTGGCGAGCGTCCTAACCGCTGTGCCAACGACGTGGGGAATGGGAACCTGGTCTTACAGATTACTAGATGAATCCAATTATCACAATGTAGGGACGAAGCCACTGATCAACTCAAGAAAATTTAACTTCGGCAAGTACCATGGGTAAAATCGTTGTCTGGATAATATTTAAGTACTGATGATGGGTTCCAAATTGAGAGGAAATAGCCGTCCAATAATTCTTAGCTTTCTATGCTCGCCTAAACGATATTAATTCGTGAACAAACTTGAAATCCATGAAATTCCTAAAAACTATCACTTGATGATGAACCATTTTTTTATTTCCTTTGACGTTAACTTATTCCCAGTTTCTTATCCATCCTGTGGAATTACAGAAGTTGTTAATGGTCATCATCATCTACTTGAATCTTGCTATCATTATCCTGCCAGAGTAGATTGGTCCATACTGCAGAAGAGCTTTGGTTATTATTCTTCTTCATATCATGATAGTAATTTTCTCAGCGTGCTAAGGGTTGTTATCTAGGTGACTAGAGTAGATTACTGACTGACTCTCTAGTGAGCAATTTGAAACGACCGCATCTATTCCACCTAACGTTTACATCCCAAGCACTTCTATCTCAATTTTTTGCGATTTCATTGGCTATCTGAGCAGTCTTCTCAGTTTCATACATTGTACGAAGATTTCACGTCCTCATTCTTATTTCCTAGCTTTCATTGAGAGAAGATAATAATTTGCTTTATTCCAAAACAGTGTACTTGTGATACAGAATGGAATTCTCAGCATTTCACTACAGTATACTGCATCCAGTTAGTACATAATCAATAAATAAAATTCTACATAGATTAAAGGAAACCTCAGTTCATTATGACAACAACATATTGGCGTGTCGGTAGCAAAGCCGAAATTGAACACAATGTTTGAAAGTGTTAGAAAAGTAGATGGTAGCATATTTACTGGTGTAAGCGGTAACAAAATGGTCAAGATATACAGAGTGTGAAAGAAGGAAGTAAAATATCTTAATTAGACTTTGTAAGGAAAAGAGAAACAAAGCAGCACTTAACAGAAAAAAGAAAGAAAAAAGAGAGAGAAAAGGAAAAGAAAGAAAACGTTGAACCTACAGAAGATATGAATTGGAAAGACGAGATCCAATTGTTCTACCGACTATCTAATAAGTCATAAGTTTCACGCCTAATGCTTTCTTTATCGCACAGAACACGAGCTAAGTAGGATATGGTTGAGTTTTTGTACTTGCTAGTGCCAACATATAGTTTTCTATATAGGCTTCTGGTCCTGCCTGATGAAGATAAAAGTGAAGAGTTGTGAATGAAGACGGTGGTGTGAGTTAGATGGATAGAATGGATTGAGCCCATTTTTCACATGAGTCCATGTGCCTGTCGACCAGAATATTAACAAGCTGGTTAAGTGGAACATTACTTACCCTGCTGACAACTTTTAACACTCTACGTATTAAGATACAGTCCTTCTTCACTAGCTCTGGAAAAACTAAGGGGGAACCATAGAGAATAATAGGCAGGATGCAAGAGTTAACGAATCGTAAGAGTAAGGGTTGGGTTATACCAGAATGTCTTAACTTCTTGATGTAGAAAGTAAGACGGAATATTTTCTTAGAAATCGTCAAGATATGAGACGACCAGGAAAGATCAGTAGAAAGAATGACGTCGAGATACTTAATTCCTGACTTGGTTTCTATTTCAGTGCCATCTATGTTGCACACCTCGTGAGTCCTAACCAGTTTGTTTAGGTCAGATTTATGCATAAAGGTGAAATCGAATGTTTGATATTTAGAGGGATTTAAAGAAAGACCATTTTCCTTGGACCATTGGCTGATTTCTGATAAAAAGCCACATAGTCTGGAGCAGTCACTTTGACATTTGAAAGGAAAAGCCACAGTCAGATGGTCAGCATATTCGACGAAATTAATGTCATTTGAAGATGGTAGGTCGTGTAGAAAGAAAAAAAAGAGAAGTGGGGAGAGTACAGCACCTTGGGGGACACCAGCTTCAGTGAGCACAGCAGAGGAGGATTTACCTTTTCATACGCTATACTGCATTCTGTCAGAGAAGTAGGAAT